TTAAAATAAGATTTTTTTTAAAGAAATTAAGTATTAATAATAAAGTAAAAATACTTAGGAGTAAATTAAATAAAATATGTGCAAGACATCTGCATTGAAACCTACATATGTTCAGAAGAGGACGTGGAACAAGGAATATCGTTGCTGACGTCAGATGGTTCGTGGCTCAAAGCAAAGAATACCAGAAAGATGTTTACTTGTGTTTTATTGACTATGAAAAAGCATTTGATTGTGTGGATCATAACAAATTATGGGTAACACTGAGAAGAAGAGGAATTCCAGAACACTGAATTGTACTCATGAAGAACCTGTACATAGACCAGGAGGCTGTCATTTGAACAGAATAAGAGGACACTTCATGGTTTAAAATCAAGAAAGGAGTGTGTGAGGGTTATATCCTTTCACCATATTTATTCAATCTGTATGCTGAGCAAATAATCTGAGAAGCTGGACTATATGAAGAAGAACATGCCATCAGGATTGGAGGAAGATCAATTAACCTGTGATATGCTGATGACATAACTTTGCTTGCTGAAAGTGAGGATGACTTGAAGCACTGCTTGATGAAGATTGAAGAATACAGTCTGCACTATGGATTACATCTCAATATAAAGAAAACAAAAATCCTCACAACTGGACCTATAAGCAGAATCACAATTAAAGGAGAAAAGACTGAAATTGTCAAAGACTTCACATTGCTTGTTCTACAATCGACGCCAATGGAAGAAGCAGTCAGGACATCAGATGATGTATAGCACTGGGCAAATCAGCTGCAAAGGACCTCTTTCAAGTGCTGAAGAGCAAAGATGTCTCCTTAAGGACTAAGGTGAGCCTGACACAAGCCATGGTATTTTCAATCGCCTCATATGCATGTGAGAGCTGGACAATGAATAAGGAAGACTGAAGAAAAGTTGATGTTTTTGAGCTGTGGTGTTGGCGAAGAATGCTGAAAGTACCATGGACTGCTAAAAGATCTAACAAATCCATCCTGGAGGAAGTGCAGCCGGAATGCTCCTTGGAAGTGAGAATGGCCAGATTTCATCTCACCTACTCTGGTCATGTTGTCAGAAGGGACCATTCCCTGGAGAAGGATGTCATGCTTGCTAAGGTAGAGGGTTGACGAAGGAGGGGAAGGCCCTCAATGAGATGGATTGACACAGTGGCGGCAATGGGTTCAAGTATAGCAGAGATCGCGGAGCTGCTGTGGGACAGGCAGTTTCGTTCTGCTGTGCACAGGGTCGCTATGAGTCAGAGATGACTCGATGGCACCTAACAACAATAACAACTAAGTCATGTAACAATGTGGCTGAATCTCAAATATTTTATTCTGAATGCAGTCTTGCACAAAAGAATAGTCACTGCATTATTCCATTATAGGAGCTCTGGTGGCATAGTGCTTAAGGGATTGGACTGCTACCTAGAAGGCCGGTAGTTCAAACCCACCAGCCACTCCTTGGAAAGATCAGGCAATCTACTTCTGTAGTGATACGGCCTCGGAAACCCAAGGAAGGGTCGCTATGAGTCAGATCCAGCTCCATGGCAGTAAGTTTGTTTTTTTGTTATTCCATTAATATATTTCTGGAAAAGGCTTAAAGGTGAGAAAGATTCGAGCAATGGGGGTTGCTCTGGGTCAGGCAGTGTTGGCGACTGGCTGGGAACAGGAATGAGAGAACTCTTTGTGATGATGGAAGTCGCCTATAACTTGATAGGATGTGGGGTTACAGAGTACAGGCATTTGGCAAAACTCATCGGACCATATACACTTAAGATTTGTGTATTCCACTCTAAGAAAGTATAACCCCCCAAAGGAGGTTTCTCTCTCGCTCTCAATGTAGTACCACTTCCCTTCCCACTCTCTCCTCATTCAAGGCCTGGCCAGGAGCTGCTTCTTCCTTTAAGTCTCCCAGGCTCCACATGTAATCTTCACAGAGCACCCCCGTCCCACCTTAGAGAACTTGTTAGAAGCTGCGCTCACAGCTGCTGGCTCCTGGATGCCATGGGCAGAGGGTGTTCTTAAGTGACTCTTATGTTTCCAGCTGTTCTTTTCAAGAATTGGAAGCATTTTGAAGTTGTGGAAATTCAAGCAAGATGCGGCAATGCCACCCTGAAGTCCTTCAGTAGCCCAAGATGAGAAGGGTGCCAGCAGAAATACAGCAAGAAGGAAAGAAGTCTTCCTGAAGGGCCAGCAGTGTAATTGGATCGTGGGGATGTCGTCCCAGAAGTATAAAAAGTTTCCTGACTTTGTATGATTCTGTTTACAAACTTCTAATTGCTCCAGGGAGCACACTAGTCCCAATTACAGTGCTGATTTCAGACTGCCTTCCACACGTCATGGTGGCTCTTCTGAGGATTCTGCCTAAAACAGAGCCAAGATAGGGTGGAAGAGCTGGCTTTCACCCCATCTTCAAGTCAGAGCGGACATCCCAGCCTGGGCATTTGGGGTCAGTGCTGCTATATCTGGCCCCTGGCCTGTGCCTCAGCTGTGGGGACTCTTTCTTAGGTGCTTAATAAAGGTAAGTGAAGGCTGTTATACGAGTAAGCCTCCACCTTTCACCCAGGACCTTTTCTGGCCTCTGACTTGAGACTTCAAAGTGGTTAATAGGTTGGAGAAATGAAGAAATTTCAGTAGTATCACCAAGATTGAGGACCACACAGGACCCCTTCTTCCTACAAAAGAAAAATACGAAAAATTTCAGGCTCAGGTTATGGACAGCTTCAGAGACACCCCCAGAGACGCTATGGTTCCAAGCGTTCTGAGCCTCTAATGGCATGACTCTAGGGGCACCACTGACATTGGGGCCACAGAGGTGGTCAGACTTGTCCTGGAACTGTGCCCCACAGGGTGACATTTATCCCGTGAAGCCTATGAAAGCTGGAACAGCTTTGTTTTTCTGGGTCTTGAAAGTTTGTCACTCTTGACAGGGTGCCATCTTACCCCTTTTCTATTCATTGGAGTGGAGAACATTTGAGTTTTCCTTCTCTGACAGGTCTCCACCTTAGACAGGTGTCAGCTTTCGGGGGTTTTACTGTATTGCCTGCAGTGTAAGTGGAGTTCCCTGGAATTTCGTGCCCCTGCGGCCTGGCCGAGGAGTCCCCAGGGATGAGCTGCTCAGGCCTTGTGAGCCCTCCTTCCTCCTCAGCAAGGGCAGCTCTGCTTTATAGCCAGGGGTTCTGCATTGAAGGAAACAAATCTTTCTTAAAACTTTGAATATCACTGACTTCTTCCAATTCCAGCATAGACTATAGTCACCTGAGGCTTTGATAGGGAGAAGGAAGGAGGAAAGTTTACCCAAGTTAGAGTACAGCCCAAACCTCTGGGTTTATGTATCTGGCAACTTTCCACAAACTCAATGCAATTCTAGAAAGAGGCTAACCCACCACCTGTGGATGAGAAGCAGAAGGCTGCCTGTTTGGCTCTATTTGAAGACTTTTCTGACACTCCACAGCTCTGACCCACTCCACACTCCCATATCTGTGGAACAGACTTTCTGGGAATACAATGGCTCTTCATCACTGGAAGAGATTAAGCTGAAACTGAGAAGTCAAGTCTCAGAGCTTGCAGAGGATCTAGAATGGGAGAGAGGGTTTGGCTAGATTATCTGGGGGACATATTCAGTTGCAGGATGTCACTCTGGATGACATACCCAGCAGTTGAATCAGAAGGCTCATGAAATGTTAGTGCCCACTGATTCCAGAGTGGACACTCA